AATCTTGGGTAGATGGGTATTCCCTATAGAGTTCAACTTGGCTCTATGTTTCAATATTTTCATGATAAAAAGTTTGAAAATATAAATATCACTTAAACCAATACCAGTCAGGATTAAACCACCCTTATCTCTTACTTAGATCATTGTAGTAGTCTCCTTCCTAGTCTCCTACTTCCATTCATCCTTGTCCCACACCAAATCTGTCTATTGTACCTTCAGCAGCCAGTATGATACTGACCAAAAAAAAAAGTCAGTTCATGTCAGGTCAGTTCATGTCATCCTGTGTCCCAAACCCCCAGTGGTTCCCATCTCACTCAAAGTCAAAGTCAAGGCTCTTTCAATGATCTACAAGGCCCCACTCAACGTGAGGGGCCCCATTCCCTCCCTGGCCTTTCTCTTATTATTCTCCCCCTTGCTGCTCTGCTCCAGCTACTCTGTTTTTCTTGTTTGTTGAATGTGTTAGGCTCCCTCCTGCCTCAGGGCCTTTGCACTTGCTGTTTCTTTTGCCTGGATTTCCCCCCCCCCAAATAATGACATGGGTCACTCCCTCTCCTTCTTTAGGTCTTTGCTCAAATATCAACTTCTCATTGAGGCTTTCTCTGACCACCCTTTAAAAAAATTGCACCCCCTACTCCCGATCTCTCTCTTTTCCCATATCCCTTTTCATCATCTGTCATTGGCTTTCCCCACACTCCACCTCCCACTAGAATGGAAGCTCCATGAAGGCAAGGGTTTTAGTCTGTTCAAAACTTTATCTCTACTGTCTACAACACTGCCTGCCACCTAGTGAGCCCTCAGTGCGTACTGAATGAATGATTGAATGGATGAATCTTCTCCCCACTTCGCTAAACCTGTCCCCTGTCCTCATGTGCCTCATCTTGGTAAAATATATCACCATCCCCACTTCCTCAAGTCACCCAACGCAGGGATCTAGGAGTCCTTCCTTACACCCTCTTCTCCACACTCCCATATCCAACCAGTCCATAATGAAGGAGAATGGGCCTTTGGTTCATCATTCAGAAAAACGTGTTCCCAGAGCAGGTGCAGGGGTATAATGGTGACCAAAAGCAGTTTTCATTCCTGCCTTTATGGAGCTTTTTGTCTTGTCCACAACTCTGGAATTCATCTCCTCCCCCTGCCTTTGTCAGGTCTCCCCAGCCCTCACTGGGGCTCCCCGTAGGCTCCCTGCTCTAGGCTCTCTCCCCCCACCCTCTGTCAGCACCTGTCAGAGTGAGCTTTCCTACACGCAGGCATGGCTGACCATGCTGGCCCCCTTTCTTCGGAGGCCCTATGATGCATCCTAATTCCTTCACAGGACAATCAAGGCCCCACCTCCCTCTCCTGCCTTGCCTGCCTCCCCTTCCCCAGACCCACTTCTTTGGGGGCTGTAGTCATGCAGCATAGTCTGCCTACCTGCCCCAGGCTCTGAACACCTCTGTGTGTTTGCTCTTGCTGACCTCCCTCTGTCACCTCTGGCTGGCTGCTTCTAGCCTCTGACCCCGCTCAGACCACCAGCCTGTGCTGAGCGTCTCTCCGGACTGGCTCAGGTGTCCTCCCTCCTTGGCGATCCTGTATTACTGCAGCGGACCGTTGGCTGGCTCCCTCCTCCATTAGACTGTGAACTCCTTGAGGGCAGAAATCATATTCTCTCTCTCTTTTTTAAGATTTTATTTTATTATTTATTTGACAGAGAGAGACACACACAAGCGAGAGAGGGAACACAGCAGGGGGAGTGGGAGAGGGAGAAGCAGGCTTCCTGCCAAGCAGGGAGCCTGATGCGGGGCTCGATCCCAGGACCCCTGGGATCATGACCTGAGCCGAAAGCGGACGCTTAATGACTGAGCCACGACGCCCCAGAAACCATAATCTCATCTCTCCCTCCAGCCTCCTCATAGAGGATCTCCTGGGCTGTAGAATCTTCCTCTCCAAGCCTCTGTCTGTTGCCTTACCTGCCACAGGGAAAATAAGTCCTCCCAGGGGTTTTGTGAGGATTAAATGGTCTATGGGAGGTATAAAACTCAGTGTGGTAGGTGTTCAGTAAAATTCCTTTCCTTTCCCCCCAGTGCATAGTTCAGTATTTCAGAGCAAGATTTTACTGATCTTGTCTGTGCTCCATTCTCCACCGAAGACCTGCACCAGGAAACAAAACTCAGCAGCTGAAATTGAAAGTTAGATTTAAGGAAGAACTTTCCTTAGGGGAGAGACATTAGAGACATTATATGAGCTTCCAGAGGTTGTTTTGTTTTTTTTTTTTAAAGGTTTTATTTATTTGACAGAAAGACAGCCAGAGAGGGAACACAAGCAGGGGGAGTGGGAGAGGA